CACTTTTATAGTATTTGAGATTTAAATAATTTCGATTTTAAATTACAATTACACGATTATAATGTAAAACTTTTAGATGTTTTATATAGTCAACTTCTTTGACGTACAAATAATAGAAACTTATAAGTAATTAATATTAAGTCAATAATTAATCTGTATTATACTATAATATCATAATTTTAAACGAAATACATTTATAGGTATTTAATTGTAATTTTCAAAATGATATATAGTCCACCACATATGCTTCACTTTATTTATATAAAAAAAAATTCTTGAGCTGGAATTGCATGTTTGTTATTATTTGAAATTTTATATAATTATTTATGTTTTAAATTATTAAATTATGATTCATATAGTAAAATTTCAGATAACAGCAGGCAACACACTGTACACGTTCATGTTTAGAAAATATTTTGTACTGTAATTTTAATTATTATTTAAAAATTTCAATGACAAATGTGGAAAACAATTAAAATAAAAATATAATCATCTTTTATTACATGTTGTTTTATATTATCAGCTTAAAAATGCACATATTATGTAACTTGTAGATAAGACTATTTGTAAACATAAGCTACTACTTGCAAAGATAGAAACATTCTCAAATATTATCTCCTTGTAAGAAGTTTCAGTAACATTTCATAAGATGAAGCTACCTTTTCGCGGTTTAATTGCCCCTGTTTTCACCCCCTTCAATAATGATGAGTAAGAAATGGAAATGTAAATCTACTATCGTTAAGTAATTTGCAATATTCACAGAAAAAACTCCATAAATTTCAATGTTTTACCTGAATACGTTAAGTATTTAAGTGCAGAAAATATTAATGGAATTTTAGGTAATTTATTTTAACAAATAGTTAATAACTAATTAATCATAATATTTTTTGTTATAGTTAATGGGACCAGTGGTGAAGGGATGTCTTTGACTGTGGAAGAAAGAAAATTACTTTGTGACGCTTGGCTGAGAGCTTCTCTTCCAGAGACTCATGTTATGGTCCAAGTGGGTGGACTGCCTTTACCTTACGTGTTGGAACTTGTTAGGATTCAATTGCAATTATTTGATTTTTTTTTTATTGATTAGATACATTTTAGGCTGAGCATGCAGAGAAGGCTGGTGCCCATTCCTTACTCTGCTTACCCGATCTTTACAATAAACCCAATAACAATGAAGAACTCATCGAGTATTTGAAATTGGTCAGCAAAGCTGCACCCAACACTCCCTTATTGTACTACCATATTCCAATGTTCACTAACGTCAATAGTAAGTATTTATTTTATACATTTTACAAGCTTAACAGATGATATGTTACATAATACATTAGTGTTATAGAACGATAATTTCAATTCTTAAATTAAAATTGATTGTTTTTAGTTGATATGGGTAAATTTCTGAATGATCGAGTTAACGAGGTACCCACTTTCGCTGGGATCAAGTTTACGTCTAACGATTTGAAGGAAGGAATTGAGGCGGTCAATGCTAAAAACAAAGAGTTTGCAGTGTTTTTAGGAGCTGACATGGTAATATTTATTTGTTTTTATTAGATATTGTAATACATATTAAGTACAATGTTTTAGCTTATGGCAGAATCCTACGCTTTGGGTTTCGATTCGTCCATAGCGACTACACTAAATATTTTCCCTACATTGGGAGTAAACATTAAGAAGTTCCATAACGAGAATAAATTTGAGTTGGTCGAAGAGAACCAATCTCGGCTTTCCAACAATGTTACGACTATTACCAAATACGGTAAGAAAATACACTAAACCTATTAATATTTTAAAGCCATATATCAGAATTTGGTTTGCGTTTGCTGCAGTCGTTTTAATGCTTAAAATAACGTTTAATTTATTAGAGCTGAAGTTATTTAAATAATTATGATATTTTTGTTTGTTTGTTAAGGTGGTTGGGTTTCTAGTATGAAATCCGCAATGAATTTGTTCACTAGAATCAACTGTGGTCCAGTACGGGCGCCGATTGTCCCCGTTCCTCAAAGACTAATGAACATCTTGCGTAACGACGTCGAACGCGCCGCAGAGAAACGACAATAAGTGGAAAATAAAATGTACAAATTAAAATACAAAATAACCGAATAGTAATAATAATAATTACTTAAATTAAAATTTTGAAGCAACTTTACTACGGGTTCACTTATTTTTGCCGCAATAGATACCGAGAACCTTCAGTTCATTCTGCATCTGTTCCACCTGTTTCTTCCAAATTTCCACCAACGGCCTTCGCACTTGACCCACGTTAACCTTGGTAAGGATGTTCATAGCTGCTTTCGATGCGGACACATGATTACCATGATGACTGAGGATTTCGTAGACGTCCGTCAGGTTCTTCTGCAGTTCCCTCGCCTCCGGCAAACTGTTCTCCGCCACAGCTCTGAAGATTTCGTGCACCAAATTTGGGAGGAAATTCAATGCCGGCGTCATGATCGATTTGAAGTCGTGCGTAGCTCCAGTTAAAATATCCTGAGAAAAACAAAAATCAAGTTAATTATCATTTAATGCTTAGTCTATTTTAAATGAAACTCACGTTCGTTGTCGACATGACCAAATTCACTGTACAGTTCGAAACTGAAGCTAAAATATCGTCCATTACTTCAGAACCGAACACGACGCCTACGAATGATTCGATCTCGGAGACATCCATCAAGAACTTCTTCAAATCGACTACAAACATATTTCTATAATATCTCAAGTGTAAACTTAATTTAATTTAAGCATACTTTGCACGTTCGAGTACTTGGGGCAGTGATGGTACCATATAGCCATGTTTTCAGCATAATCTGAAATATGCTTCAAATAACGCAACAGATCGTAATGATCCACTGGTTTGTTATATAAATCCGGCAATACCAATACAGCGTTGACTTTTTTCGATGCTGCATGCCTCACCTAACAATATCAGAAAATATTAAACAAGTTATTTTAACTTAGTTAAATTACAGCAATATGGATAAGAGCACATGAATGTATCTATACCAAACATTCAGCTTTCATATGCATATATTGGATTCATTCTATGTATTATAGTTTTCGAGAAAATCAATGAAATGTGAAAACACTACTTTTTCGAGCACTTTTTAAACTTTGAATGCGAATTACAGCCAAACGGATAAAACCACAGTAATATATGAATACTGGCTACATTCCCCAAACATTCCGCTTTAATATGCATTTTTTGTATTCATTCTATGTATTACAGTTTTCGAGAAAATCAATGAAATGTGAAAACACTGTTTTTTCGAGCATTTTTTAA